GGGTGCTTGGCTTTGACCTATGAAGGGTCAACAAAGTACTTGGAGTAACGAGGACAAGAGAGAATTAGCTTACGTCGTTGAAAGCGCGTTTGTTCGTCGTCGCGCGCCTCCCGTTCAAAACTCCAGTTCGGGAAAGGACTTCACTGCCCGTACAAACAGTCAAAAGCCACTTCAGACTCCCCTTCCCACTTAGGTCCAGACTCTTGAGAAAGTCAACAACAGGTGCCATGTGCGGCCTCTCCTCACCATTCGGACCACGAGTTCCAAGCCCGCCGGGCACAAGAATCATTTCCTGCGTTGGATCGTCAGTTCCCGTTTCCAAGGCCTCCACCCAACCTTGCTTACCAGGTCAGTGGGCGCATCGGCGAATGCATGGGTAGGCACGATTGATGGGCTGAATTTGCTGCCTTGTTTATCTTGTGCCCATGTTTGTGTAGGCACGGGTTCAATGTTCGCAGCGAGGATGCTCAGGTTCAGCGTAGTTTGCTGAGAGAGGAGGTGAAATGCGTCCAGTGGACCGGCAGCGTCGAGGAGCTGGAAGCCGGGGAAGAGGACGATACCAATCTTGGTTGGGAGAGGGTTGGCGGGCATGCTGAGCTTGGCGCTGGTCTTTTTGTCCGTCAAACGTCGATGTGCGGCTCTCTAGCGGCTAGGTCCACTTTGCGTCTGGTGGTACAAGAGTTGAACTTAGATATCGAAAACGTGACAGTGCGACAAAGAGCTACGCCTGACCTTTCGAAGAGTTTGCTGTTCTTTTAGGCAGATCTTACACGAGCGGAGGAGTAGAACATTAGTCAGCAGAAAGCCTAAGTCTTGGTATGAGTGCGGAGAAACGCTTTACACGCTCATGTTTAATATGCTCTTACGCCTTGGTGCGTGGAATAAGCATAGTCGCGGTGAACTTTGTCCATGTCCACCGCGGCCGTCTGTAGATGCCCACGGTCGGAAAGAAGTGCATGTTGTCTAAAGACTACGATTGAGATATCAAGATCGCGAGCTTCATGACTCTGTATCTCAGCCAGAAGACCTATACCACCCCAATCATATGCACTCCCCTCTCGTCCTGCTGCTGTACGGTCAAGCCCTTCCTCGCTCTCTCAATTCTCTCCTGGCTCAGCACATAGCTCCTTGGCATATCCCCATCTTTGACCATCTGCTCCTGCAACTCGCCCAGATTTTTCCCTTCGAGCTCTCCCAGCACCATATCCACCACTGCTTTTCCACATAACGTGCCATTCGGCATACCATGTCCTGTATATCCACCACAGAGCCACAAACCCTCTTGATCCGGGACTTTACCGACCCAGGGATGATCGTCGCGCGAGTAGCCCATTATCCCTGTCCACTGCGCCGCGGCTTTCAACTCCTTCAGGCCAGCCGTCTCGCCGTCGAGTTCCAGCACCTTGAGCAGTGCGCCACGCAAGTATCTCGCCGCACCTTCGTCTATGACGCTATCGTCGGAGACGGCCATGCTCGGTAAGTCTCCTGCTCCGCGCCCACCCCCAAACATCAAATGGCCGCCAGGATTTGGCACGCCCTCGAAAGGTCGCTGGACGAGGTAGTCGTCGTTATTCTCGGCTTGGCCCAATGCGCCGACCATGCCGTAGGAATCTGGTATGAGGGTAGAGTTTTTGGGTGGGTGAAGAGCGGACATCTCGCCGCGAACGGGGACGATGAGATCGGCGAAGTGAGGCAGGATGGCGGAAGTATAGCCATTTGTTGCGAGGATAACAGTAGGAGCGGTAATTTGGCCGCGCGGTGTGTGAAGAGTGTGCTTGCCAGCCGCACCCGAGATCTCGGTGACTGGCGTCTGTGTTTGCAGGTTGATCTTTCCTTCTTTGATGAGCTTTTCGAGGATGAAGGTCACGAGCTTGTATGGCCAGAGACTTGCTGCGCCGGCTGTAAGCGTCGCCCCGACACATTCGGGGTTCACGCGGTGCTTCTTGAGCTCCTCCTTGTCTCGGATGACTGTGACCTGGCTGGCGATGTCGGGTGCGCTGGTTTTTAAGTGCGCGATTTCTCGCTCAGCTTCTGCCATTGCGCTTTCGGTCCAGAAGCTGCGGCATCCGGCGACATCGCGCCACTCAGCCGGTACGCTGTTTTGTTGGATGTAGGAGCGTACAGCAGCGACGTTGCGGAGCTCGAAAGCGGCCACCTCTGAGCCTCGATCGAACAGAAGTGGTTGGCAATGCCCGCCGTTCCGTCCCGTCGCACACCAACATGCTTCCCTGGCATCCAGCACCACGACGCTCTTGCCTTTTGCCCTCTCATCTTCGCTCAGGAACCTCGCGACGGATGTACCAGTTATGCCAGTTCCCACAACAACGATGTCTGCTTCTTTGGGAAGCTCTTTGGTTGTACGATGTCCGAGAAGGAACTCGTTCGGCTCACTGTGCCAGAAAGAATTGGTCGACGTTGCTGTCGGCACTGAAGCGCGCTCGTGTCTCATCGTGGTGAAGGTGGGATGGTCGATGTCGAGTGGGGTGAGAGCGACTACGGGAATGTCGACGACTTTATATAGCTCCGGTGCTGGTTGATTGCACTTGAGACAAGAGGATGCGGTGTGACGGTTCGTGCGCACCCCTTCGGAATAGTTCAGTGGTTCAGAGCATCACGGTAGGCCTCGAAATGCGAGCAGCGCTGCGGAGGGGTAGTGGTGGGTCACGCTCGGAATAGCTGTGAGCGCCGCAGACCAGCCTGGTGAGTGCAACTCATTCCGAGAGCGACGACAGGCCTCACTGTCGGTACACTGTGAGTCCATTGCGAGCGCCAGTATCGGCGTCATCGCGGGAAAGGCTGCGGTCGCAAAAGCACAGAGCTCCGCGAGACCATGTAGGTGCTCGGCCGGGCGGTGAGGCTCCTAGTACCTGGGCGCAACAGCAATGCCGACTCAGGGCCGCTTATGTAAAAGGGGGCAGTGCAAGTCACGTCCAAGAAGCGACAACCTCATCGCTTTCACGCTGTTTCTTCGACCAGCAGCATGCGATAGTATCGCGTGTGTATAACGAGTGACGGTCCACCGGGATCTAAATCACAACCTGACGATGCCGACTAGACCACCAAAAACAACACGGACCAAGATGCAGATTCAGAAGTATGTATTCATGCTAGCTAATATACAGTCTGTCAGCTTTACACGCGAGATCAAACATTGCGACGTTCCATTTGAATCGACACAAAGGTCGAACTTCCAGCATTCCAAGCGTCACTCCGGTCATGCTTCAAGCACTCTGATTATTCCTCATCATTCGCATCCTCATAATAGTCGTTAATGAGCCACCAGACACTTGATTGTGTAATACTTTCCCGCAGTACCCTGGCTTATCAAAGCGAGTGCGTCGCAGACGACCCGCACAGTAGACGATGAGGACTCTACTGCTTGCGACGATGCAAGAGGTCTTTCGCAGTCTCCGTCGCAGACCAGCCACCGAAGAGCCACTCATTAGAGTGCCGTCCCCGCCACGGATCACTTCCACTTGTGCTCCTCCTGTCCGCCATCTGTAGGCTCGGTCGTACTGGTTGTGCTGGCGCCGTGATGGAAACGTGACGCGTGTGTTGAGCTTGTGGCGCCTGTTGTGCTTGCGCACTGATCTGTCGGGGTGGTGATGCCATTGGAGACTTTGACCGTTTGCGAGATGCTTCGCGAGAACGGCTTCTTGAGCGGCCGCGAACCCTTGCAGTTATTGCAGAGAAGAAAGATTGTTCGGTTGGCGAGGTTGCATGTGATGTTGGTGATGCTGGTGAGAAGGGAGGAGACATTTGACCGGACGATTGCGAAGTCTGCGAACCGACTGTATTGGTTCGAATGGGTGGTACGGGCTGGAAGTTTGATTGGGAGGGCATTGCAGCTGATCGATGATATGGTAGAAGACGGGTGTGAATGTTGCCTGGTTACGATAGAAGGTTCGATGCAGGACCCGAGTGTGGAAGACGGGAGTAGACACCTCAAATACTTGCTCCAAGATTTCTGCAGGACAACTCATGCGGCTCAAACAACGCAATAAGTACGCACGACCAACAATCACACACACGATTCCACTGAAAGCATGTCCTCCCCAATCCCGCAGGCCCGCGCACTTGGCGCATGTTCATGCCAGATTCGGGTGTCGGTGACTGTCCCCTCGAAATCACTCCTTCAACCAATCAAAGCCCCCCTTCTGCTTGCGGGGCCTCCGTTCCTCAAGCCTCCTCACCGACTTGCCATCTATGGGCTGCGGTCTAGAGACCCACAAGCAAATGCACGGCCAACGCATCTAACCGAGCCAGACCCACGAGTGCTTCGAACTGCTCTGTAGGGCAGGTGTCAACCAATCAATCAGCAGCATATGAGCTGCTGCCTTGAAACCAAGGTTTTCTGTGTCACTGGAGCGAGTGCGCGACATGAGCGCACCCGCTTCGTGTGTTCGGTGTTCGTTCTTGGTGGCTCGTAGTGTCTGCCGGGGGACTTCCCCGCCGGGCGAGGCCATCTCACTGTTGAGACCTCTTAGGCCCCCAAGACTGCTGTCATGTTGCATGATCAACAACGATCAAACAGAAACTGTCCTGCAGGAAGAGACCGTGTCCCCTCATGGACCACTACGATGGGCCTCGGGATCTCCGCGTCGGGTGCGCTTATCGCAACGGATCACGCGCATCGCATAACGAATCGAATCTGGAGAATTCGGGGACCAAGACTGTCTTGCATTCGGAGGTGACCGGTCCTTCGCTCATTGAGGTCTCAATTGCGAGTCTCAGCGTGTATAATCATGGAAATACCCCGCACTTCTGTGTCACAACTGTCGGTTCGAGGCCTGGCCATATATATGACGACCTTCGTAGATGAATTTCCTTGGATCGGGCCAGCTGCATTTTACCTTGAGGTCTCGCTTACATATTGGATGTTCTTGGAGAGCGACCACGTGATGGCCCACTTCACGTTGTCAACCCCAACGTCTCAAAGTCACGACCAAATGAACAGAATATGGGCAAAAAAAAATGATGGAACCATTGGATAAGTACTGTGCACCTTCCGGGAGTCGAACCCGAGCCAATTGCTTGGAAGGCAATTATCCTACTGTAGAGCTGTTAGAGATTGAACTTGACTGATCTGACTCTGTAATTACTTGCCCGCTGGACCAAAGGTGCTGATGACGTAATTTGAAAATAACTATACATCTATAGTGCCCATTCAGGGAGTCCGTGTCGGGTTTGTTCGAAATCTCGAAAATTCCGAATGGTGGTGTGTGTTTTACACCAAACGGGTCCCACTTCGCTTACGTGTTGTCGATGATTTGGTCTCCGACAGCCGTCCCACCGCTCCGTGATCTCCAGAACCGACTTGGGGCCTCACAAAGCAACGAAGGTCTCAGTCGCTTTGTAGGCGCAACTGAACAGTCCCATCTATCGGAAAGCTGAAGATGGAATGGATCCATCATGTGGACTGGATGTTTACACGATTACACCGTGATGCGAACTTCCCCGGACACCACCCTACTTGCACCGCAAGTGATCATCTGAGGACAGAATTTGACCTCGGCTGCCATAAGGTCCTAAAGCTTCAGATCGACAGGAATCAGCATTCCCGTGAACTACGCTGCTTAGCTCGCACTATCTACGCCACATCCCGTCGATCATTGTCCATCCTTCCTGTTCCTATGTCTAGCAATATGCCTACCACGACAATCTAACGCTCTGAGGCATCGTATAATTCAAGAATGGCATTTTGTAGTCATGGCAAACCACGCAAGTGCGATTGGGTCAAAAGGCATGGTAGTCCCATGTCCGGCCATATGGCTTGCCATTCGTTTCCATCTTTCCAGTACAAGTTTAGTCGATCGTTCTCATCGATATGCACGCTGCCTTTCTTCTCGCGCTGGCCATGGCCAGCGAAGGGTCTGCTCAAGGGCTCCTTGGACTGTCGCTGGACATTGAAGAACTCCTCTCTTCCCTTAAGCCAGCCGCTGCGAACGATCCCCGGTTTACAGAATATCACCCTCCTAGAGTCGGCGATGGTATTTGCATCAAAACACATAGCATATTGCCTCTTACTGATCACTTTCAGTAAGGTCACCTTGCCCAGGCCTCAATGGTGCGAATCTTCTAATGACCCGAATGCTTCACACACTGGACTGACTTTACTCTAGCACTGGCAAATCATGGCTTTATCCACCGTAATGGCCTCAACATGACCATTCCCCATCTGATCAAAGGCCTTGCTGAAGGGCTCAACATGGGTCCCGACTTCACTGTCGCCATCGGCGGTGCCGGACTTCTCTCCTCGCCCAATCCTCTCGCTGGATCATTCGACCTTGACGACCTGAACCAGCATAATTTCCCCATCGAGCACGACGCATCCATGTCGCGTCAGGACGCCGCACTCGGAAATAATCAACCCTTCTACGCGCCGAATTGGAACCAGTATATCAGTTTCTTTGACGGGAAGAGCACTACTGACATTCCGACGGCATCGAAAGCTAAATTTGCAAGATATCAGGATAGCTTGGCGAGAAATCCTGATTTCACGTATGGATTGCGCGAGGCTGTTCTCAGTTATGGCGAGAACGCACTCTATCTGCAGGCCATGGCTGACCCCGTGTCTGGGCAAGCACCAATTTCGTACGTGCGTATTTTGTTCGAGCAGGAAAAATTGCCATATGAGCTGGGATGGAGACCAAGTACTGTACCGGTTACCCTTGCGAGCTTGGGCGCGATGGTGGTGCGATTGTATGGGGAGAGTCCCGAGCCGCTCGGAGAGGGGGTGAGGATAGTAGCGTAAATTTTGGCTGAGTATTTGAGAATAAGGACTGACTGACTGACATCTGATAGGGACACGTACAAAAACGTGCTGATGGGGGTTGTGGGTGGATCGAATGTCCTGGGAAATCTTACGCAGGGGATAAGTTCAGTGCTCGGATTGTAGGATTAAAGATACATGGAAATGCATCTGGATATATGCCCAAGTCAACACGAAATTCAGTCGCTAAGTGGAATTGTGAAGTAGTAAACGCAGTCGCTAAATGCCAGGAATCGACCTGCAGCTTTCCGCCTGCGTCGATGTGTGGGAAAGCGCCCGCTAATAGCACGAAGCAATTATATCCTTCCCGTTGGCAGCTCGTTCGGCGAACTTTGGCCACCCAACTCGGCTGGTCTGTGTGCCTGCTCGACCTCAGCGGGTTGTTGATATGCATACTGCCCCTTTGCCGACTGGTGCACTGGGTCGTACTGATAATTGCCAGAGCCATTGTAAGCTGTTCCAGCGACTTCATGTGCCACAGGCATTGCCATGTTCTTCTTTTTATTCTTCTTCCTTCTCAAAAGCAGGAGAATTGCGCCGAGAATCACCGCGATACCAACGAGGGCACCTAGAACGATACCCGCGATCGCACCTTTGGATAAACCAGCAGATTGCGAAGAGGTCGATGGCATATTTGAAGAGGAAGGAGACGCGCTCCCACTAGCACTCGCTGAGCTTGCAGCAAGTGCAATTTTTGTAGCTGCATAGATTTCCTGATCTTTGGGGAATTCATATACTTTTCCCGGCTTCTTCTTGCATAAATCCACCACGGTCGTCAGTACTGTTCCAATATGAGCACTCTTCTCGATCATTGTATATCATCTGTACTCACCATTGCCCAGTATTGTTAACCCTGGTGTTTCGTAGAGGCAGCTCAGGCAAGATTGCGCATCCGTCGTGAAATTGCTATTTAAATCGCAGAAGCTGTAGCTATCGGGTCTCTGCTTGATGTTGTAGTCTGATGCGTCGTATATCTGATTGCATTTTTTGTTGCACGATTGGTATATGGATGATTGAGATATGTTCTTGTTCTCTTCTTCGGCAAAGCGCCCGAATAGGCACCAGTCTACCACCGCGCGATTATTGACTATCGAGCTGTTAGCAATGGCCGCCTTCGCAACAGGACTGGAGCACTCACACAGAAACCAATTTGTGTCTCTTTCTACTGCTGTAGTCCATGCATATCCGCTCGACTTCATGCAGTTGTTGCAGTCTTTGAACTTTTGCCCGCTTTGTGTCGAATTATTGCCGACAACTTCCCAATCGTAACAGAAAAGATCGCGATTGAAGGTCAAAGAACTTTGTACTTCAGAGGCATTGCCTATTCTCGGATCGTCGATGCATTTGGGCGCGCATGGTGAGTCGGGCGAGACTTCGAGAGCGGAGCTGATCGTTGACAGGAAGACCAAAAGGCTGGTAGCTGTATTTCGTATCCGTGAGCGCATTATGTACTGAAATCGGAGCGAATGGGTTTATATATGCGCAAGTTTGGGGTTGGTGAAGTCAGTTGCACAGAAATGTCAACGTCAAGACGGGGCCGGCCGTGTATACAAGGTTCAAGCAGATGGCCTGTGTAAGACAAGGCCACCAGTATTTCAAGCCAGCAGTGCCCGCAGTGCCCGCAGTAAGTCCGGTGGAGGCTGATTTCGAACTATTGCTACCTCGTACGTAGGGCTGTGCAGCGATGTTCACTAAGGCCTCCAACCGCTAAACCTTTCTGGTGCCACGCACCAACATATCTTGCCACGATTGGCTGTCGCTCAAGTAAGCGAGCCAATGAATCTACATGGGCAGGGGGCAAGGGAAGCTATTTTCGGAGCTTGAGATTGCAGTTGCGATGGTATGCTGATCAAGCACATGAACAGCTGGTGGCTTTTTCCATGCGGCTGCGAAGATCTCAATAGTGGCATATGCACACCTTATTTATCTGATGAATGGCAATCACAAGACACAACGGTTTCGGGCATGTTTGTCTGTGATGTGAAATTTTATCGGCCTTTGCATTCGAACCGACGGATGGGCCTGCACCTTTGAAGGTATGACAACTGCATAGAGCCCTCATGAACACAGATTGGCGTGCAGACATTATGCGTATGAGCGCTAGTACTACATCCCCTCCGAGGCGCATGTTCGGGATCACTCATTTTGAACATGATTGTTGTTCTCAAGTGGCCACGTCCAAGTAGCTGATGAAGGTGCAGCTCTCTTCGAGCCTGCACGGCTTCTGCTTCTTGCCACGAAATGTTTTCATCTTCTGCACGCCAACCCAGCGTTGTCAGGCACATGCAGATGCAACACAGTCAAGAATTAGGATCAAGAGTACAAACATAATATTTGAGCAAAGTCTCGAGTTGGACAGCATAATTACAATATCTCTGCTGGCTTCACAACCACCCAGTTCTTGTCGGCTGTTACCTCCCGCCCATTTTCTCTCTGGCCCGCCGCATTCTCTGCTTGTTCGTTCAAGATGCGGGTATAGTATGCGCCCCGACGGTTGATCCACAGATGTATGCCACCCTTACTGACGTCCACACCGTGGAAAATCATGTACGAGTCACTTCCGGGTGTGTCTCCAGCTGCCAGAATCGGTCGTTTCCACTGATCAATGTACGTCAGAACGGCGGCCCACTTGCCCGCAAACCATGTAGCCGGAGTCCAGAGATACGGGGCCATGACCAAGTCATCGAGGAAAGCCTGCGGGTCGTATGTGCCTGCTTCGATTTGCTTTCGTGCATTGGTGAGGTCGCCGGAGGTGATGTTTTTGAGCATCGTAGTGACGCCAATGACGTTCTCTGGGGGAACGTTGTAGCCATACTTGGGGTCGCTGGCAACCATACGGACGAGTTCTTCGTGGGCTGCACTGATGACGTATACTTTGATGCCGTTGTCCATGAGGGCGTTGTACAGCTCTGTCTGGCCTCGGAATACTTTTGGTGGATTGACGGTAGCTGAGACGACCTCGTCTCCATCCCAATACTTGGTCGGGATGGTGGTGTTGAGAGCCATCAGCTCGTCCACGTAGGTTTTGAGAATTTTCAGCGAGAACCCTGACCAGACCTGGGCCACCCACGGATAGCAAACGAAATCGTCCACTTCGCAAAGTCGAATGTAGTAGCTATACAGCGATTCTGTATAGTTTGCCGTGTCCTTGAAATCGATCAACTTCAGCGTCGGGTCCAAATTCTCGCGCGTAAGAATGCCGCGGTTCTCCAAGAAGGGTAATAGCGACTCTTCGAGATCATAGCGGTAGCTTGTGTTGTCCATGTCAAAGATTGCATAGTTGCTCTGGTTGGCGTTCTTGACGATCATGGCGCTGAGCGCCTTGGCTGCTTCAGCAGGCCAATGCTGCAAT